CACAGTCCAGTGATCAGTCGGAAACTATATTTATAATGTAACTTTAACACTTCCTATATTTTCAATTTCAATTAAAATTGCACTTTACTTCTTCATCATATTCTTCTACAGTTACTTTGCGTGAAATATTTAACAGCCTCATCTCCCTTTCCTTTATTTCTTATATTGACTTTTCCTTTTTTTATATTTTCATAATCATTATAAAAAAAAAATCATATCATTTTTTATTATCCTTAATTTTTTTTTTGCTTTTATTTTTTTTTTTTTTGGTAGCAGAAAAATCATAATCCTTTTTGCGCTCATATTTTTATTATGCGTGTACTGATTTAAATCAATTTAACAAGGGTAAACAAGTTATTATGCAACCCTTGGAATTATTTTTCTTGTTTTTTTTTAATAAAATTACATAGATACAAGAAAAAATTAATAATATTTCACACTTTGTGATTTTTAATCTATGGTGCAATAAAACCCCCTCTCTATTCTATACCATGGTATCGAAGAGCACCAGGATCATACAATAAAAAATATGTTTTTGAATTATTTCGCCCTCTTGTTTTTCCTTAAGTCAAAATAATATGCTTTTTGCAAGGATAATCATTAAATTATTTTTATAAGGATCATCACCAATGTTATGACAATTATGAAAATATTAAATAAAAATTTTATACACATTTATAAATGAAGGAGAAGAGGCGAAGAATTTTATTAAATTTTTTTTAATGTTGTAATTTGAAAAAAAAAAAATCAAATTTTTTTCTTTTTTATTAAATCTTCGGATCATTATGCCATATGCTTTAGAAAAGTAAATAGTATATGATTGCCATTTCAAGTGTGGAAATTTTAAATTGAGTTTATAATGACACGGGTATGTAAATTTTATTCAATATTTGATGTAATTGAAGAGTGTATTTAGAAAATGATTTGAAAATAGATTAAAGTTGCTGTTTGAGTATGGTTTTTGTTTTTTTTTTGGAATTTTAGAGCAAATTATACAATAGGGTCTATTTAATATTTTATTTAAAACAATTTAATTCATTTGAACTGCCTCGAAGTGCTTTCAATAGTAATTCGTAAGATCAAATAAAACTATTGTTGCCTATTTATTGAGTTTGTTTATTTGTCTTTTCATTTGATCTCATTTCAAAGAGACAGGAAATTCAAAACGATAAGAGAAAATGATCAATTCCGAAAAAAATGGAATTAATTCTATGATTAAGATCGCAAAAATGGATTTTCAACTCATTCTTCTAGTTTTAATAAAACTCATTATTTTCGTATACTATTTGCAACAAAAATTTCATGAGTAAGGTAAATGCCTGCAAAAACAGTGATAGCAGTAGTAACAGTAATAAATAAAAGTTAATTACTCTTTAATTTAAAAAAGAGAGCCGTATGTTTATTGTAATCATTTCTCTTTTTTTTTTTTTTGAGTGTTCTTTCAAATAAATTTCAAATTGTCTTCATATAAGGTAAAGATTTTTTGAGAAAATTCTTGGCGTGTGTAATGTTTGAATAATTGCGGGACGGTCAACCGGTCAAAATACAATTAATTATAAGAGTTCAATCATAATAATTCAATAATCATAATTTAATTGCTTATGCAATATAATTTTATGAAAATTATTTAAACACGCAGTAATTAAAGGAAGCGTCTGTCACAGCATTGAATTTCATTGTGCATAAGTAATCAAGCATACTGTAGACTCTATTTGTTATATTGTATAGACTACGTAATGAATTTTGTAATATATTATAACATTATACTGTGGTAGCTATAAATGCATTAATTGCATATTCATGTAATTTTCGGTAATCTAAATATTGAGTTGCTAGTGAATTGGGGAAAAAAATTTAAAGTAATCAGGATGCTGGTTATGCATTAACGGTCAAAATATTTTGTGAAATTACAAAATTTCAAATATTATTTTGCCAAATTGTACGATATTTTATATTCACCTGCAATTGTTGTATTTTTGGCATATTCGAATTATTTTTACCTTTAAAATTTTGAAATTTTTATTTTACTATTTTCAATAAATATACTATCAACGCCTTTAACTTTTAAAATTCCGGAAATTCCAAGAATTCAACATATGCCATTTCATTTTTCATCGTTCTATATATACATACATTTTATTCTATAAACAATAATGTCCATCCTGCTGGTTAACTTTTTAATGATGTCCAATTTTAAAGTCAATTATTATAATTTACCTTAATAAAATTTATTATTCTATATCTTGTATTATATCTAAAATATTCATATATACCTAGCATGTATAAGAATAAAGTAGGCCTGATTATACCTGATTTAGCCTTATTATAAAATAAGGCATAATTTTATTAGTAAATCTTAGTAATCATTTAAACAACCAATCATTAATGTTATTGTATGCAACTACATATATATATATTAAGCCCATAAATTTTTAGAAATCAGGTCAAATATTTTTGTAAAATATTAAAATTTTCTAAAATCATATATAGGTATAACAATAGACAGGTATAACAGAATACATATTAAATTGCATTACTATGTAGTATAGACAGAAAATACTTACTGTATTTATATTTTGAAGTAAATTTCGCGAAATTTAAATAAGTTTTTAAGAAGAGAAATGTTATTAGTCCAGCACATTTCGATTTTATATTAAGGTATATAGAGTCATTTAAATTATGTTCAAAAAATGATTTTGAATTGATATTTTTTTCTGGAGTGTAATCTAGTTACGACTTAAATTAGTCTTATTACCATAGAATTTACCAAACTAATATTAAATATAAAAAATTTTTCAACCCTTTCATATAACATAATCTTAAAAAAGTATTCTCAGCAATTCTCAGAGATATTAAGAGTTCAAATGAAATAATTACGGGCAAAAGCCGTATAATAGCATTCCTAATTTTCGGTTTTGAGTCGGAATGCTATAAGATATTAATTGAACAGTTTACCAAATTGCTCTTAATTCTCTCAACTTTCTTAAATTTAATAATATGGTCCAAGTTTAATACAAGTTTTGCGCTATATATAGCTCTATTTGCAATCTTCAATTTAAAATTTTTTTTCTAACTCTTCTCTGACTGCAATTTTCAAAAACAATTCTCAACATTTTTTTTTTTTTAAAGTGAAAATTTTCTTTGTCGGCTTTTAACACAAACATGAAATATAATTGTAAATTTAATTATCATATTAACAAATTCGAAAGAAAAATTTATATACATTTAGAATTAATGTGTTTACTGAAAGGATCGATCCTTTTTAATGAAATTATTACTGCAATTATTGTTATCATAAAAATAAAAAATTCCTAGAAAAATTTCTTAAAATACGAGTATTTATAGATAAATTTAAAGAAAAAAATTTTTAGTTTTTAATTTTTCTTATATTTTAGTTAAAATTGTTGTAATTTATTTTGAAAAATATTAAAAATATTTTTAACAATTTAAGTTGAAATTCATAACTTTAATAGATAAACTGTACTATCATCAAGGTTTTATAGTTTTAAATGTAAAGCAAGATTAAGGATTTCGCTCAAAAATTATTAATATTATAGAACTACTCTAAAAATATACATGCAACACAATTAATGTAAATTAAAATTAAGAAACCAGGATGAATAATTTCTTTTAAAATAATTATGGGAATTAAATTATAGAAATTAACCACTTCATATACTTATAGAAATATACAAAAACTTCCTAAATTGCATTTTATTCTTATACAAAATATGTAATTTTGATTGTATATTTATTGTATATTTAAATAAGGGTCTCCTTAATATATTATTATTATTAAACCCATTACTAATGCCAGGCGTCATATTGTACCAACCAATTTTTACTTTTTTATTTAATTAATATATTAAAAAAATTTACAAATTTTTCGTTGTACTCAGATTCAATAGACCAGCCTAAATTACCAATGCCTAAATCACAGGAAATCCCTGTAAATTTTGTGAAATAATTATGAGCCAATAATTCTATAATATATACGATTGCATTTAATTTCCTAATTATGTCCTTTATGTAATAATATTCCCGAATGCTAAGTTAATTGAATTTTCCTAAGCTTAGTAGAAATTATTTCAATTTAATTTTAAATTAATGATTCTAATACTCGAATTCTTTCTTTTATTCTACTTTGCTCCTAGTGGGAGCATGATATTCTAGAACCATGAACAAGTTTCTTATACGCCATTGAGTTCTTATACTTAGAACTCGAATATCCGTGTGATACTCTACTAATTTTAAAAATTTTCTTTTTATAGCCCTATATCGATCATGAATTCTTAATATTCTGTAAAGTCCAATAAAACATAATTTATAATTTAATTTTTAATTATTTTTATTTTTAGAATTGAATTTCTTTTGTTTTATAATTTCTATTAAGTTTATTTTTTCTGTTTTTTTTTCCCAATTTTTTATATATAAAAACTTAAAATTATAATTAATTATAACAAATATTTAAAACTAATAATTATTTTTATTTTATTTTATTAATAATAAATTCTTACTAAAAATGGCTTTCATTTTGATTTTATTTTATGTACAATTTAATTATATATTTACAATTTTATATTCGTAATTCCATTCGTACTAGTTAAAGTTATTATAACCCTTTTTTTTTAAAATAAAAAAGTTAACGAAAATAATTTTCAATAAAATTTTAAAAACTAATTTATTAAAATATAAAACTACTTGGTATTTATTTTGATAATTATTTAAAAAAATAATAATAATAAAATTTTCCCGTAGGGAAATAATAATTTCAAAAAAAAAAAATGTACTACAGTCGCTTCCTCGCTTCGTTAAAATATAAAAAATCTTTAAATTGTGAGCAAACAAAAAAAAATGGAGAAAACAAAGTCATTATTAAACTATTTTTCATTCATAATTAATTTAATAATTAATTTAGCACCATCACAATATATATATATATATATATATATATATATATATATATAGATTTAATTTGTAATTCTAGTTCTTCATTTCTTCTAACCTAATTCTGTACAGAAAATAATTTAAATAAAAAATATTTTTGTTTTTCCTACTAAAAAAAAATTTTTTTACACAAAATTTTCTAAAAATGGTCATATTTAATTTGTTAATTTAAAAAAAAAGAAAATTAATTAATTTTATGCTTCCGTTTTATAAGGTTTAAAAAGTTTTGGTTTAATGTCAACATCATTTGTTAAACATGTTTGTAAATTATTATTAATTGTCGTACTATTATTATTATTATTCGAATTATTTAAAGATTGTTGATGTTGTTGATTTAATGGTGATGTTCCATTTGTTAAAGATGACAAACTATTATTATTATTATTGTTATGATGTAATAAATGTTGTTGATTTGCTGTCATTAATAAACCAGTACCATTACCACCATTCATCATTGGTGATAATGTTGTTTGATTAATATGTTTTAATGGGCTTAAACTATTATTTAAACGATTTGAATCATGATCAGAACCAGTCGGACTCATTGATAATGTTGAATGTGGTGATGATGATGATTGTATATCATGTGGTGGTGTATGCGGTTTTGGTATACTTAATGGTGTATATCCTTGTGGTATACAACCATTAACGCTAGCATTTAATAAATTTGGATAACCTGTACCATTATTACCATGTAAACCAGAACCTGGTGGTGGTATTGGCATTGGTGCTGCTCTCGGTGGTATATGATATGGTGCATATCTATATGAATTAGCGGTTGCATAATGTGCTGCTGCTGTTGGCATTTGTGCAGCAGCTGCAGCAGCAGCTGCAGCAGCTGGCATCATTTGTGGTGCTAACATTGGATTTGGTGCATATGCATATGGTAAACCGACACTATTTGCAGCTGCTTGTAATATTGATGCTGCAAATGCTGGATCTGAATAAACAGCAGCATATGGCCATGCAACAGCAATACGTTGTCGTTTATCTTTCATACGACGATTTTGAAACCATACTTTTATTGTTGATTCTGGTAAATTTAATTGTGCTGCTAATTCACAACGACGTGGTCTCGATACATAATTTTCTTTATAAAATTCCTTTTCTAAACGTGCCAATTGATCACGTGTAAATGCTGTTCTATATCTACGAACTGATGGATCAGCTGGTATTTGATTATTTAAATTATTCATATTATCTTGATTTGAATGCGGCGATTTTGTATCTGAAAGGAAAATATTAAAATTAATTTAGAATTAATAAAATACGTAAAAATTAATTTAAGGCGCGAATAATAAAATTATGATTCTTTAATTTAAATCACAAAAATATCCAATTTTTTTTTTTTTGAAATTAAAATTTTGCAATCGCGAGTTTTAATTATATTAATCTTTTATTAATTACCTGGTGGAGATGGTGGTGGTGTCTGTGATTTTGTATATTGTGATGGTATTAAATCAACAACAATTTGTTGTTGCTCTCTCTGTTGATGAACTAAAGTTTCCATTGTATAATTCCGAAATCCTTGCATTTTGTTACTATTTTTTTTCACAAGTTCACAATTAATTAATTAAAATAATTTTTTTGTAATATTTCTCTTTTTGTTTATATTCCCAATTATAAAGTTTTAGTTTATTTTTGAATATTTTAAAAATTCACAATAATTAATGCTTTTATTTAAAATGTTTTAAATCACAAAAATAAATTTTGAGTTTGTTTTATATTTAATTCCGAAAGCCGACGGATTTCTGATTTAGAATTCTGTTTTTCACCCGAGAAATTTAATATTTGCAAAATAAATTTTTTTGTCTTAATTTTTCCGAATATTTTCAATGGATTAAAGATGTCAAATATGTTTTAAATAAAATTTTTTTCTTTGTTTTTTTTTGTTTTAAAGAGTATTACTAATATTTTAAGAGAAGATGTTTTACTAACGAGTAAGTAATGATAACTGTGATTATCTCTTCTCATAGAACGGTATTTATACTAACACCATATTGAAAAAGGGAGTGACTCTATTTAAAATACCTTTTCGAAAATTATATTATTTAATATTTTGATAATTGAGAAGAGAAAACAAAAACAGAAAGAACAAACATAGAAGAGAAAAACAAAAAAAATTATCTCGCATTAAAATAATAATAATAAATAAAATGTGAAGAAAACAACAACAAAACCTTAGCAACCAATGAAATTGAAGAATTTTGTTATTGTGTGCAACAAACACATTCATAAAATTTTCTTTTTGCATACGAGAAATAAATTTTTCATTTTGTTTGAAATAGAGAGAAAGAGTAAGGGAATATGAGAGAGTGAGAAAAAGTAAAACGATTAGTAGAGATAATTTTTTGTGTTGTTGCTTATGAATTTTGTTTTTTGTTGTTTTTATTGTTAGATTGTTATTGCTTGCTCTTCGTTCGTGTTTTTTTTTTGTTTTTCAGCATAAAGAAAGAGAAGATGAAACTTAAAAATGGCGACTGCTTATAATATTGTGTATTAAGAGTTACTTGTTTTTGTGTTTAGTTTTTTTGTTGTTTACTGTTTTTTTTTTTGGTTTTTAGCTTCCTTTTTTTCAGTAAAAAGATGCTGATTGTAATCATTGTCTCCCAAATAGTTATGTTTTTATTATATTTTTTCTTTTTTTTTTTGGGGAATTTTTATAATACATTAAACGTTATGTTGTTATTGTATTTTTTTATATTCAGGTAGCAAAATTATCTACTTTTAAGAATGAAAATGGTATTTTTGTTGTTTTTCGTATACAGTGGTATAGCAGGAGCAGTATTTAACTGCATGTACGAAAAGAGTAGCGGGAGAGAGTAGCGGGAAAGATAATAATTTTTGGGAAGTATTTTTTCTTTTGTTTTTTATATTTTTTTTTCTTGCTTTCGGAAAAATTTAAATGAAATGCGGGAATAGAATTGTTTTCGACTAAATTTACGAGATACAAGTAAATTTGAACATTTAATTTTAAAATGTTTTCAGGAATTAAAAGATCTTAATAAAAATTAATAAAAATCCATATTAATAAATTATGTGTCTAGGTATGTATTCTTTCAAGTAATATTAAGGTATTTAAACCCTTCTAATGTTATTCGAATTGTGTTAATTTCAATTCACTAAATTGTAGGCGAAAATAAATTAAAGATCGCATATACATAATTGAAACGTGATAATTTATGAATGGATAGTGTAAAACTGCTTTAACTGATACAGTATTAAAGACTGTATATATGAGGCGATCAGCGCATTAGTGGCTTGTCTAAAAATTTTCCAAAATTATACTCAATAGACCTGTAATGGCCTAAAGAATTGTTCTATTTTTCCAATATACTTAGTTCACTCCTTTTTTCACTCTATTTTGACCTTAGTTTACTTTTACCTTTTAAAAACTTTTTTTAAAAATTAAATATTTAACATTCAATCTTAATTTACTCGAAATGTCATTTTTCCAAGTAAGCCATTAATGTGCTGTGCGCCTCATATGAGAAGTATGACAAATAAAAAGGAAATTAACTTTTATTGAAATTACTTCTCTAGTCCGCTTGAATTTCGTATGTCCGGTTGAATTTTAGTCTTTTACTCTATAAGTGTATACCAATTTATTATTATGATATAAAATAATTAATCCTCGTATAAAAATCCTGATTAAGTTTAAAATTGAATTGAATTTGAATCTTCTGGCAATTTATTTCTTATTCAATATTTTCTAATATTCAATAATTTCAGTTTCCGGCTAAATTTCTTTAATTTTCTTGTCGAAATATTTAAGTTTCCCTCCATTGTATATGAGGAAACTATGAAATACCAATTTTTTTTTTTGTTTTTTCCATTTATCTAAGGTTATTATGCTCTTTAAGTGAAAAATTATGCTTGTGGATACGAATAAAGTTATAAAGTTTTTTCTTTTCATTATTTTATTTTTCTTTTTTGCCTTTTTCCATAATATCTATGAATATATAAGTATAGACATGTACATATGCATATGTATATATACTGATGTTATATTTTATTCCAAAATATTATATTAACACCCTATAAAAAAAAACTTCTTAAAAGCACATTAAATATTTAACGTGCAACAAAAAAAAAAAAAGAGAAAAATGAACAATATAATAATTTTTCTCTTCTTTTTCTTCTTTTTTTATAATTTTATGTTATACTGTTATAAATATTATATGTAAGTGTATAATATTATGTATATACAAAATATATGGAATGGGAGGCAAAATTCAGGGAATGATGTAAAAAAAAAACAGGGAGTTTTAGGTTATTTAGCTGTCAAAGAGAAAAGGATACAAAAGAAAAAGAAATACTCATAAAAAATAAGAAAAACAGAAAAATTTAATTAGTTTTATATTAAGTACAAAAACATTATGTATACATTATCGTGTATAAATACATAAAGTCTTAATATCATTATATATACATACTCTATATAATAGGTACACATGTATAGTTATCTTTCATATAAATAAATAGAGAAACATTATAAAATCTTCAAACATATAAAATGTATATTGTGCTCGTATGTGTGTATGTACGTATGTATGTAGATGTAGATTAATGTGAATGATGTGAATAAAGAAAAGAGATCATAATAATATAAAAAATATGATATGAGGGATAAAAATGAATTAGTAATGAAAAATTTTGGATGAGTTGAAAAAAAAAAAAACTAAAAACAAATTTTTTTTTTCCTTTTTTTAAATAGAAAGTAAAAAAATACAAATAAAGGAAAATGGATAAAAAATTATCATAAAAATTTCATATTCATAGCAATGAACGTTTTTACATTTCATTCTTTATCTCATTATTTCATTATATTACACACATATGTATTTGAATTATATAAGTATGTGAATATGTTACAAAAAAGAAATGACTTAACTGAAAATATTCTACAGTTCCTGGTTAATTTATTAAGCACACTAATTATGAGCAAATTATAAAAATTTTTGAAAATTTAAAAAAAAATGAAGTAAGGGTTCTGTCCAAATGAGTGTATTGTAAAATCGGCTTGACCCATTCTATTGTAAGTATGCGATATTAAATACCAATAGTATCCACCACCACGTAGTCATATGTGTCTGATATACGCAATTTGATTGATGGCCACCTAAATTACAAATGTCCGACACAAACGACACATTTGCATTATGTTTCTCGTATCTTTTTGTTCATTGTTTGAATGCGTCCGACATACTAACGCAGCTTGTCCAGAAAAAATATAGGATCATGTCAGTCATTTCTGACACGACATAAAAAATAGTGTTTTCCGGGAATTTCGGCAAAAAAAAAATTTGTTTTATGAATTAACTAAATTATCTAGTAAAGTTACAATTGCCCATGTGAAAATTTTTCTTATATTATCGTAGCGATTAACGTGTTAGTTAATAGGCGCTTATCTTGAAATTTTAGACAACTTATTTATTTTATAGACGCGTAGTTGAAGCCGAATTGGAAAAATGAATGTTTATCAATTCAATTACGTTAATGTATTTTGTAGGAAAAATTTTTGTAGTATTTTTGTAGGAAAAATTTAAAGAACTAAACGCCTGATTTTATGCAAGAAAATTTTATTTTTTAAAAACTAAATCTGGACAGTCATTTTAAATAAAAAAGATGTTTTATTTGCATAAATTGAATGTTTAATCAGTTACTTTTACAACATAGAAGTAACTTGCTATTGAATCTCCAATATTACCCCAGTTACTAAAATGGTATTCAGAAGTGGTGGCAAATCCTAAATTTATGCCGAAAATATAATGGGAATTTCTATTTTTTTAATAACATATAGAGAAATTTAGATAAATTAGATGTCCAGCAAGGTGTCGCATTTATATATACAAATTAATTTCAGTATCCTAAATTTATGTACCTAAATAGTAACTGATATAATAGTTAAATATAAAACAGTTCGATACCGATTCTATTGATCAGAAATTGCATATATATTAAATTTATATTAAATTATAAAGGAAAAAAAAACTTCTTTTATTTATATAACATCAAGGATTTTATTATGAATTTATCAAGGATCTTTTCCATATTAGATTCTCATATTATAACTTCTTATTGTTCTTTAATGTTGTTAATTGAAATGTACATAATGCCTTATACTTTTAGCGCTATACTTTATTATATATATTTAGGTAAATATAATTATATTTCACACTGTATATACTTGCCCCGATTACTACATTATATTATATAATAAGACACTTTATACGATATTATTATCAAAATATGAGATAATTACGTTTTTAATATTTACATTTTTATGTATACTTTTATTATACACATATATCTGTAATATTATAAGTATATCTGTTAAAATTTTTGCATATACATACGTATGTATAGAGAATATTAAAGTAGAATTGAAATTTTTTAACATTTATTTTTATATTCCAAAAAAAAAAACAAGAAAATTGTATATGAGTATTCAAATTTTTTTTTGTATACATTTATAATATTATATGTAGAGTATATAAGTAAATTATAATAATTTTTATATTATGATATTTT